CACTCTAACTCTAACTATTCTCAAATCTGTTTAGATTAGTTCAAATAATTATTTTTATATTAAATAATCTTATAATTTTATATATTCCCACCTATACTAAATATCAACCATTAAAACTTATCTTGAAATAATACATATTTATACTTGAAAAAGTATGTAGATATTTGTTATTTCAAGAATTTACAATACAACAAATATTATATAACTTATTTCTAAATACTCACCCATATAATAGTACAGATTATTCAAGCAAATAAAGCTAGTGCTTTTTTATAAGCTTACATTTTTGAAAGCATTATATCATTGTTTTTTTATTTTTTATCTATTTTTGTTTAAATTGTTTCATTAACTTCATTAGTTTAAATTTCTCAAAATATATATGAAAAGTTAAGTTTTTAATTTGCATATTATACTTGCTTATATGATATTGCTACTAAAGTTAATAATAAGCATATAGTATTCTTTAAAACAGCATCTAGTTAATAGTATGTATATATATTTAAGTAGTATGATTGCAATATAATTTTTATAATCTTAGTACTAATAACTCTTTTTAATTTGTATTTAGTATACGATTAGAACATGTTCTACTGTTGTAACCAATCTTTTGTATACATCACATTTTTTGCCATTAATTCTAGCCTCTTCTAACTCAAAAGTGGATGGAGTTTTTTGGGTGAAAGCTTGAACTTTATTCCATGAACCAACTAGTTGTCCTCTAGTATGTTGTACTATTGGATCTAATAAAAGCATTGGTAGTTCATTAATTAACTTAGATAGTTTATTACAAGCTGCTGCTTGTTGAGAAGCCGACCAAGTTTCATATTGCTAGTTAAGGTCTTGCAATAATTGTGGTAATAATTGGTCATAGACTCTATATTGTTTTTGTAAAAGTAATTGATTATTTTCAATACACCAATACTGATGAATATGATTAAGATTTAATAATTGGTTTGACTTAAGGTATTCTTGAATAATGTGTGTATACGGAAGTTCTATAGATGTGGTGAAGGTACTAGTACAAGGTTCAAGCTAATTATCAAAAGTCATATATTGAGCTTTAAGGTACTGTTTATATATATTTTTTAAAGCAAATGAAGAAATTTTAGTAACAAGTTTACTATAAAAAGGAATATTATAAGCATGTGCAATACGAGTTTTGTCTTTAGCAATTTTAACTTTAATTTCATTATATTGATTTTTTAACAATAGTAAAATTTTTTCTCGAACTATATTTAGATTACCTGTTAAAACCTGAAGATGCTTTTTTAATACTGCATGGGAACCTTCTACATGAGATATTGATGTATTATCTAAATGAAAGTAATGATCAACCCATGCACTAACAAATTTTTCTTTGAATGATAACCATGATTCTTGAATATATCTTATAGTTGATGAATTTTTATTATACTTGGTACACAATTCTGCCCATCTAATAGAGAATTCATTTTTTGTTTTTGACTTTACTATCTCTGTCCAATCCTGAAGAAATGTTTTCCAATCTTAATTAGTATAAAAGTGACCTTTGCACTTAGGTAGAATATTCTTTTCTATATGCTATCTACAAAGAATATTTTTTGAATTTGGAAATATGTATTCAACTGCATAAATAAGTGCTAATTCTTGATCTGTTATAAAAACTTTAGGTGGCTCAGTATTATTAAATAAGCAAGATACTTAAGTAAGTGCCCACAAATAATTATTCTTTTTTTTATCCTTTAAGAATATAAAACATGCAAAGAATGTAGAATTGAAACTTGTTACACTGACTATATTAAGAAGAGGCATTTTGAATTTATTAGTCTTATAGGTGCAATCCATTAACAATATAGAAGAATAGGTATGCATCAATTCTATAGATTTATGATGAGAAAAAAAGAGATGCATTATATGTCCATCAGCATTTCACTAATAATTATATTCAAACTGACTTTCTTCAAGCTCTTCCATGAGTGCTTGAATAGATGTACAACCTCTCAAGTTTTCTCTACGAAGCTTTTTATGGCTATTATAAATATCTTGCAATGTTGTTGAAATTGAAGAATCATTTTGACGAAGTGAAGATAGCATTTTCCATGGACGAACTCCAGCTTTTGTTATTTCATTTAATTGATTTTGTGCTTGAGTATCTAGTCTTTTTAAGGATGGGTGAAAAGATTTATTTTCTGATGGCTCATAATTATGAGATGGATCTTCAATTGACAAATTCTATTGATTATCACTTTGTTTAGTGCTATGAAGCGAAAAAAGGCAGTCTATTAGTCTAGAACCTATATGTTTTTTACGTGTTTCATTTGTAAGATCTAAACGATTTCTATAATGACCTTCTCTATCACAGCCCAAGTATACTTTATTTTGTTTTGATCTTATAATAGATATTTCATAACTATTTAAAACCCAAAATGCCCGTACATACTCAATTAGTAAGCCATGACTTTGAAATTGACCAACAGGAGGACATGGTATTGTAGTTATATTTGACATAAGGTTCGAATATTATAATATTAAAATTTTATTTAATAGATACAAGTAATATTCTAACCAAACTCTTTTTATATTAATATAAATTATTACATATCTTAAAATTTAATAAACTTCAATCCCCAATGACACCATATTTACGATTATATGAAAAGTTATATTAATTACACAAAGATTATAGAATGATGTTTTTATTTATCTATATACTATCTAAAATCTATTATAGTAGATTATGTTCTAGTAGTACAATTCTATGTAATGCGATTTATATATAATTAGACAAAGAAAAATGACAATGTTATTGCACTTATGATACCTATTTTTATTAATTGAATTGATTGATTTGTGATTATCGATAGCCAACACAAACCTTATGATAATCTCTTAGAATAATTTAAACAAACTCTTTATGAGCATAGTCTATAGCTCTGTAATTATAGAATAACAATTATAGTCATAGGAACATATAATTTTGCGAAGTATAATAAATATTTTGATCAAATCTTTATATTTTCTTAAGCATCTTAGCTTCAAATTTGATTTACTCCCAATTTTTAATAAAGAATTTTGCTTTTATATTGAAAATTAAATACATATTATTGTAATTAAAAAAATGTTAAACATCATTAAGTTTTAGTTTTATTACATCGTTAAGATTTAGTTTTATTGTCTAAAGTAAGATGGAAGGAGTTTTGTTTTGCAAATTAGTGTATGATAATGTATTTTATTCGTTTTCATAATATCAAATTAGTGTGATTGATGATATATTTTACATATTCATTTCTATATTTGTTTTTATAATATTAATCTGCTGAACATATAAAAGCATAAAAAGATAAGATTTTAAATGCTTCTACATCGATAGATATATTTTTACTTAATAGTACATAACTTTTAAACCTTATCATTACTTCTTGTCTACACTAAAGTTGTAATTCTTTTATCTAAATTGAAAAATAACTTTTGGTTTATATCCGGATACATACTACATATCGAAGAATAGTATTTTTATACTTTCTTATATTTTTAGAGAATACTTATTTTGTATATAATATTGAAGGCTGGTAAAATAAAACAGAGAATATGTATACCATTTATATCTTTAGTCTTTGTAAATATCGCAAGTTGAGATATTTGGATCACCTGAATTTTTTCTGTGATTAAAATAATCGGTAATATAATTTTTATATGTATATGATTACGTAAGGGTGTGGAAATACCAAAATCGGGTGTGGAAATACCTGTTCCCTAATTTTAATACCATATAATGATATAGATTTGTGTAATATATGATTTATCAAAAAGATCGTTGATCTTGTGATCTCGGCATTTTTTTGCCATGACTAATCACATATATATGATGACGAATGATTGATAATTCAAATGATATGGTATTAGATGTTTGTAACGATAGTTTTAAGATTCTCTTTTACTTACAATTTTGAACGAGTAAAACATGCTGTTTAAATATACATTTTGAGAACTTTAGATTTTTATTGAATAAAGATAATATAATTTTTAGAACATACTATTCAAGTTATTGATGGAATTGAAACGATTCGCGAAAGGGATCTTGAATGTCTTAAACATTTGGAAAGTTTTGAAAGTTATAGAACTATTGATGTAAATAACTGCTTATAATATTTTAAAAATAAATATTTTAATTAAATTTCTAATTAAAGTGATTAGTTAATAGAGCTTGACTTCAAATGAAGAATTAATGTTTCATGTCGTTAATAATGCATTAACACCATTAATGACACCAATGGAAAGGTTAGAATATGAAGAACGTATGGTTTTAATTGAAGTAAGAAAGGAAATACTAAGAGAATTACGAATTGCAATATAATTAAGAGCAAGAATATGGACTTGAACAATAATAAAAAATATATTTGCGTATTATATTTGCATTAAATCGATAATTGCGAAAACAATTTATCAATAAATATATACGTATTAAATATGTAATTGTCGAATATTTTTTAATCATATGATAGCTTCGAACAATATTTATACAAGTTAGTATATCCGGCATATTCTAGTATACATTTATATACGCCATACGCTTTTTTAATTTTTAATATATATACTATATATATACGTATATTATACCTCATATATACCATATATACTATATATTTTAGGTAATACCGGTGCTGAGGAAATCCAATATACGGTATACACCAAAAAAATTTTTATCCTTATTTCTACTACTTCGAAAACCGCGATAAAGTATAAAAATCAAAAAAATTTAAAACTTGTTAGCAAAAACAATTTTATTAAAATATTTTATAAACCCTAAAATTAAAAGAAAAAAATATAAAATATTTAAATATATGCTAACTTGAGATTTAGAATGCATTTACATATAAATAACATATTATATAATGCCATTATTAATTAAAGATAGTTATCACAGTACATTATATTATATTGGTTACAGGATTGCATAATGTATAGTGCTACATAATATTGGATTATGTATGCAAATCAAAAAAACTTGCATTTGCATTTCTCTAGTTATCCGGGACGCATTTGCATGCATTTGGACTCCATGTATAACCAATTATGCACAATTGAGTGTCAACACATTTCTGTGGATCACGAGGCAAAACTGAAAATAAAGTTAAAATTTTATTTAGATTCCTTTTTTATGAAGAATAAAATTATTTTAATAATAATAATATATTTTTATTATTTAATACCTCGTTTTTCTAGAGGCAACGCCCAGGAAGGAGTAATAATTGTCAATTGGACAATTAGCATCAAAATTGCTAAGACTTTTACAAATTGCATTTTTAGTAAAAAAGTTGTTAACAGTTGTATGTTTTCTTTTTGGTTAACGAGTAAAAAAGCACACATTTATATAATAATGCACTCAAATACAAAAAAAGTTGGCTTACTTTTTGAAACCATCACCCAGACATTGCTTATAATAAACAATAATAAATCTGTACAACAAAAATATACAATTAAATTTATTAGCTGAAATATCAATAACACATGAGATATAAATTTAGATCGAAATTTTTACGTAAGTAACTTTTCTTTTCTAATTTATAAAGTGTAGCCTCGTGATCTAAAAGAAACTCGAATTTAAAGTCAGATCGTATAAAAACCATTATAAACTTTCGTCACTCTGACAAACAATAAACTTTTTTTTTTTTTTTTGAAACCATTACCACACATAATTAGTAACCTTTTAATACAAACAATAATAAACTTTTCCGCATTCCCCACAATTATTTAATAATTAATTATCAGTAATTATACAGTAAATCACACACTAGTGTTCAACACCATATGTAATTTTACTGTACAAATTTAGGGTTAGGGTGCAATTCTAGGATAAATAGGTGTTTATATAGTATAATAAAAACTTGATATAAAGGTCAGGTTTTGTTATACTTCAAGTTTTCAGGGATTCGGGAGATTTTACTTAGAAAACACCCTAATTAGGCCAGACCAATTTGATTCTCTGTTTTACATTACCCTTCCTCCTCTGGTTTATAAGATAGGGCAAAAAAAATTTTCTATATATATAATACTTTCAAACCCGCCCCAACCCCAGAAGGTAGAGGTGGTAATGTAAAACAGAGAATTAAATTGGTCTGGCCTTATCTAGTTTGTTTTTGAGATACTGTATATCAATAGTGGTGTTGAAATGTGATTTAGTAAAACCGTTAATCATTAATTATTAATTGTCCAAAGTACACTACAGATCTGAGACAGAGTACCCGATGTCTGTGTTAACAAATTCTAAATTTTTATTGGCTAGATCAGGTGCAACGTAAAAAAGTCTTTTTCGATTTTTAATTTTTTTTATGAATGGTTTCCATTTTCTAGTTAATTATTAATTATATAATTGCTATTAATTGTTATTAGTTATTATTATTAATTATTAATTATTTGTTATTAATTATTAGTACTAGGAAAATGGAAACCATTCAAAGTCCGAAGGACCAAATATATAAAAAAATTAAAAATCGAAAGATTTTTTTATGATCTAGCCAATCAAAATTAGAATTTGTTAACACACGGTACTCTATTAATGAATTAATTATTTAATATTATTCTTTGAATATTTTTAATTGTTACCGAAAGATAATTATATCTGGGATGTTACAGTATAACTCAAAAATTAATTACCAATTCGATTGCTATATACAACCTTATATTGGTCCTAAAACTGCACTCTAACCCTAAAATTTAGTAAAAACTTATTTTTTAGCAAAAAACTGGGGATGGATATTAATATCTCTTGGGATAAAATCAATCTATACTAATTAATCAATTATTAATTAATCACTACTAATTATTACAATGAAACCTCTCTAAGTGCACGCCATTTGGATCGGACTATAATGTGCACTTAGGGAGGATGTGCATTTATTTTTTCCTGCTCTACTACCACAATTAATAGTATCCCGAGTCTTTCAGACAACTATGTGTTAATTTATTATCTACCTCACCGAGAATATTCATATAATTGATAAAGCTTTTATATTAGTTCACGTGCGTGAGAGTGCACGTATAGGTCCGGGTTGTAAAATCCTATGCACGTGCAGAGGTTTGAGAGTACACTAAGTCCCAAGCTTGGGATCGGTGTACCTTAATTTTTTTACGATCCCCTTATAATTATTAATTCCCTTATTATCCCTTATTGGTATCAGCTCCTCTGTTCATGTATTAACTAATTACACTTCGAAACATTATATAAAATCTGAATTACAAAACATGTGCACATAGATTTTATACACTGCCCCGAATTTACTTTTATGATTGTACCACATAACCGGCAGATTGATAATCCATCGTTTGCATTTCTTAATTGAGTCACGGGTTAAAGGAGCGTAACTGTTATTGTGTTTGGAAAATAAGGACCTATCGGTATTAAGGAAGAGGTTGTAGGAATTGTGAGTTTTCCCGATAGTCTTTAAAAGGGAATTCATTCCACGCGTCTAGTCTTGGCCGCGAGACTTTTACATGTTTGTAAGACCTCTCATTCGCCTTGGACAGGTTAGGTTACGCTCTCATTTATGAATAAAGCGATTCATATCCTATAACTATTATCTTGTCTGTTATTATACTTGCCGAGTGTTACAACTATACTTCATACACTTGTTTATTTTTGCATATTGCCTAAGGCCTTACATTATCACTTGTCATATTTTTATTCATGTACACATCCCTCGGTTCATACTCTTATTTTCGTTTACTATAAGAGTTAAACTGGCTTAGTGTAAGAATAGTTCTCCCAATAGTAACGGGCAGTGATGGGTTCGGACATTGTCCCATCAATATTTTTGGGACATTGATGTCCTGGACAATATTCTATGTCCCATGTCCCTAAAAGTGTCCTAACATAACAATGTGTTCGGACATTGTCCCATAGCTTTATATCTGAGTCCCGGACATGTCCGGGATATTTATACTATTGAACACGTGAATAATACGTGAACCATAATACAGTATTTGACTTTCGTTTATTTGTAGTTCGGTAATTAGAACTCTGCAATTTTTATATAATTTGAATTGTCCCTATGAGCA